TTTTCGTGGAATCTCATGATCGCAGCGAGAATATATGGTCTTAGGATGACGAAAATATTGAAGTAGACCTGCAAAGGTGATAGGAATTACAAATCCTTAGGTTTGCAAAGTTTATATCGACTCCTATGTCTCTCTCCTTCTTTAACTCGTCAGTGTGAATTAATTTTCGAAATTTAGTTTTTATTATTTATTATTATTTTTGTTTAATATATATTATTAAATCAAAGAAAATCGTAGAGCACTTAAAAAAATTGTAGAATTTCACTTAAACTCTAAATTTACAATAATATATCCCAAAATACATGAAACCGTAGGTGATCTTAATACTTGGTGTAAACGTTTAAGTTCATTTTTTAACAAGATGCAGTTATAAAATCCCTAATATCTTGAAGACAGGTCACCCGAATATTAGTTTATTAAATATTTTTAACTATATAATTCTGTATTTGAATAGTTTCGGATATATTGGTGGTCGCAAAAGAGGTTTCCTTATATTGTTTACCATACCAGTTTTCTTTAATCGGTCTTAAGAATGAAATACTTATTTACTCGTATATATATACAGAATATCAGCAAACTTCAAGTCTATTTACTTTATTCTACAATACTTACATATACAATACTTAATACTTAATAATTATATATAATGCACTTATAACAATAATATTAAAATCAAAATCAAAATCAGTAGTAGTAGTGACATGAAGAAAGGAAAGAATATCGAAAACAGTGGAACAAATGGTGAACCTATTAAAACTGTAACGAAGAGGAATAAATTTTTTTTTTGTAAAGAACTTAGTAAAAAGGTTATTAATTTCAAAAAAAATAATTACCGATCCTGGCTATCACACGTCACAAGCTGATAAGAAAAGTTTGCGAAAGTTACCGTCTGTGTCTTTCAGTCATATCTTTGAAAAGTGTTATTTAGAAGCAGATCTATTTAGCCTACGAAACTTCTCACTTTTAATCTCAACTCAGATGAGCTGCTTGGACTTCCTTCGGTTTTTATTAGCCTTCTCCAATAGCTTTATTCTGTTATTCTGATTATTCTGTTACTTTTATTCAATATGTATGAGAAAATTTATAACATATGTATACATATATACATATTTATATAAAATATATAAAACAAATATGAAAATATAATGTATTTCATATATGGTTTTATTTTAAAAAAAAATATTTCTTTATGCACAAATAAAATATTTTATTAAAAATAATGATTTTATGGGCTTCGCTACGAGAATTGTTCCGTATTTTAAACATTCCAAAATCGTTCTCGACTTGCCATCTTTTTTGTATATTTTTTTAATTTTGTTTTTTATTTTTTTTAATTTTTTTTCACATCTCTTAACTTATCTTTTGGACTTTTGTGTTTCGGTTTGATAAATGCAAAGCTGTCATTTATGATTATTTGAAGCTGCTTAAAAGCATTCATCATTTTGTTACTTTCTTGGAAAAATGCTTTTGATTGCATGGCAGCAAAAGCATTCAGATACACAGGTCAATATAAATTGCCTTTCAGATAATTCATTTCATAACAGTTATTTTCAGTTATTTTCGCTTCAATAATAACAAATATTTTATATAGAATATTTTTATAAATTGCAAATCATTGTTGCGCAAAAAAGTTTTTACTGAGTTCTTATTTTCTGTTTTAATTAAATATTCTCAAATTTTCAATTTTAATTAATTTTTATTCATTTCTTCTCTTTACAGGTTCTCTCAGCTTTAGATATCTTACAGCCGCCTCATTTGGATTTCTTCCAAGAAATGTATCCTTTTTTAAAAAATTAATTATTTAAAGAAATTGCAGAAGATAACTGCAAAATTATTTTTAAATCGATTTCTTGTTTGTCGGTTGGAGATAAAATTTTATTATTTTTAATGCAATATTAACTCTGCCATTTTAAGGTTTTCAGGAGGTAATACAATTTTACACTAATTGGTTTTTGACAAAATTTAAATATTTAAAAACAAAATTTTTTTTCATCTTTTCGTCCCTTAAAGTCCTTGGATTTGAGTTTGTTTATTTTTAGAAGGACATCTTTTGCGGTGTGTGTAGCAAAAGAGTTTTAATGGTTTTAAAGTTTTTCGTCTGTTTTACTTTGCGGTACTGCGCTTTCATGTAGGGTCTTTCTTTTTGAGATACTTCTAAGTAGTGTTTTTATGAATTGTACTTTTTTCCCTTGATTTATTTTATTTTTTATATATTTTATTGCAATTCATAATAATCATTCATTTAAGTTGTTTTTTTAAATTGATTTGAACAGAATTTAGTTTTAAATTGATTTTGTAGAATTATTTATGCATTTTATTTAATAGATACTTTTTACGAGACTAAGTTACCTTAATAAAATAATTATGTATAAATCATAAACACACATAATTTACTTTAAACTAGTTTTTAAAGTTTAAAACAAAAAATATTGAGGTACTAGGAAAGGTTCGCTAATATAGGTATAGATACTTAATGTTGCTCTTTTAAGCGAGCTTATAAATATTTTAATTTTATTTTTGAATATAGTAATTTATTAATATCTCACAGAATAGTAATACTGAATAAGGACGATATACATAGTATATAATATAACAGAAATTAATGTTGACTAGATCGAAGAACTATAACCACAGTAGGTTTTTTGTGCACTAATTGACCGTATACCCTGAATATACTTTACACAAAACACAATATATAATACATTATACAATGAGAATGTAGACTCACAGTAGAGCAAAACACTATGACTACATAGGTTTTTTGCGCACCTACTGACAACCAAAGAGACGACATTCAGTCCTTCGAATGAATGTTAGAGTGTATCTCAATAGGGACTTTTAATAAGATAATGCAACACATGATCATAAGCTAAATCTTAGCAACAATGATGAATGCAGAAACTCTGAAACTTTTCTTCTCTCAAAAACTCCAATAAAATTCTTTGGAGTTACAAGTTTTGAGAGCCTTAACCTTATCACTTACAATCGAGTAAACTATCTTATAAAATACGCCAATGGAGTACACATGTTAAGTAATGTATATCATTATGAGTATACTAAATATACTAATCCGTTCTAATAAAGTAAAGTAACTACTTAATAGAAGACTAGGGTGCTTTCGTGTCTTTTAGTATTTTCCTTCTGTAGCAAATTAAAGTTAGTTATAAAGAATGTGACTAAATGTCTTATATCCCTTCATACGAACAGGAACCTATCGCCTGAGAAAGACTCACCTATAAATTTAATAGTACACCAGGATAGACAGTCATAAAGAATGTGACTAAATGTCTTATATCCCTTCACGCGAACAGGAACCTATCGCCTGAGAAAGACTCACCTATAAATTTAATAAAACACCAGGATAGACAGTCATAAAGAATGTGACTAAATGTCTTATATCCCTTCACGCGACCAGACCCTATCGCCTGAGAAAGACTCACCTATAACTTTAATAGAACACTAGGATAGACAGTCATAAAGAATGTGACTAAATATCTTATATCCCTTCACGCGAACCGGAACCTATCGCCTGAGATACACTCACCTATAAATTTAATAGAACACTAGGATATGATCTCACTAACCATCTATTCTTTTACGAATATTCTTTATCTATGCTGGATAGTCACAATAAATGCGTTTGATTCCATTTCGCTTTTAGGTAAAAAGGATGTTGTCACCTGAGATAAACTCATTTTGTTGATATGATAACATAAGTTTACTGCCCTCTCAAATAATTTGTTAAAAAGCTTAGTCCTGTCCTGTTAAGGAGAAATGTCTGCTTATAAAATGGCAACTCTCTCTACCGCGTTTGTTATCAGCAGATACCCAAACAAATACATTTCTAGTTGTGAGTTTTGAAGAGTACTATATAAGCGCTTAACTATGTCAATGTTATCGTATAGTGAAGAGCTGTATGCCTTTTCGTTTCATCTAATTCGGAGATCATTAATAACGCGTAAAGGATTATAGATTAAAAGTAACTACCATTAAAATATCATTGTGGTGTGTTTTGGAAACTTGATCCTATTTTATTTATTATTTAATTATAAGTATCTTATATATTCTAGTTTTACCATTATAGTTTTATTTCATAAGGCATTAATAAGGTTTGAAAATATTTCCTAATTAAAAACTTTAGAAAATTGTTACAAATTTTATAGGAAAAAATGCTTAAAATTTCTACGGTCTACAAAAAACTTTTATTTGCCAATTACTAAAGTAGAAAAGTTTGTCGTGGCATATTTCTAGGAGCTAAAGCTTATTTGGTTGTGTTACTCAAGTAAAATTTGTTAGAAAAAATTACAGCTAAAATTTCAAAATTTCATTAGGTGAAATAGAATTAAAAATACTTTTTATGCTAAATAATGAAAATCGCTTTTAGGTATTTTAGATTTAAGCTACACAATGAGTACGAGGAAAACATACAAAAAATAAGTTTTTCCAAACAAAACAATCGTCTTTAATTGAAAAACTTTTCAAAATTCAATGCACAAGTAAAATTCTCTTCCGCCCTTTTGACTTCATTAAAATTGATTTCATTTTGTTTGTGTGGCAACTTATGCCACGTGAACTCAACTGATTGACGAGGAAAAACCTAGATGAAGAAAAACTTACTCACTCTCTCACCTAAGTAAAATTTTTACTTAAATGAGTAAAATGAGTAAGAAATTAAACAGGAAAAATAATCAAAAATTTTATTACGAATTAAGATACATTTTTGCAAGAATCTCACTTATTATAAATTTATATCTTTTACATTGATTACTTGCAAAGTTGTACTTTTCACATTGAATTTGTAATTATACATATTGTAGAGATATTAAATTTCAAAAATTTAATAGAACTATAGAAAAGAATTTTTACTTCAAAATTATTAATTTCGATACCATAAATTAATTTAAAGTTTATACGCGACTAAACTTTAAAATCCATGTTTTAAATATCTCTTTAAAGTTCTTCCTGAATGACTTAGTTGATTCAAATATAATTCTCACAACTCTCTTGGGGTATAAAATTATCTCTTGGGGAAATGAATCTGTCAGTTTTCTATTGAAGGCAACAAGATTTTATTCAGTCGGTCAAAAAATATTCGTCGTTTTTAACCAAAATTACAAAACAAATATATAAAAAAAATTATTCAAAATAATTCTTATTCAAGTCCAATGAAGCTAACATGTTTCGATACTCCTTTACTATTTTTCTGATAAAACTCTTATTTCTATTATTGAATTCCAAAACATCATCTTAAAGAAACTGAGTACTTAAATAATATCAGAACGGAAGTTTTCATAATACTCTTTAGAAATTATTTTTTTAAAGAATACATGGCTCTGAAAAATGTAGCATCTAACAGTGCAATACCAGTATTATATACTGGGTGCACCACAAAAGTAGAAGAAAATTCGCTCAATTATTGCCTGGCCATATTCATTATTACAACTTAACACATATTTTGTTTTAATAAATTTAGAAAATTTCAGAAAAAATGGTCAAGAAAGTTAAATTCATTTATGAAAGTCTTTTACAATAAACGAAATTTAATTTTTTAAAAAACGCCGGTAAATTTTCAGCCAACTCAAAATATTAACATAACATTCAAATAAAGAACTAAGGGGTTGTAGCTCATAATAGGTAATACCATTTAAATTCTATATAATAAACGTCATTACTTTCTTTGTTCTAAATATCGATTTAGTCACCATTTATAAAGTTATGTACATCCTTGATCTATAACATTTTGATACAATATTATCTTACATCATTTATTTTTCATTATCTTTTACTATTTTATTCAAGAACGGAACTATTTAGATTTATTTCAAAAGCGATTTACAGATGGAAAATTTAGTCTACCTTATCCCATTTCATCAGGCCATCAAACAGACATGTATAAACTATATATATAACATATATGTGTTTAAGGACATTACCATAATTTTGTTACTATAAATTACTTAAAATTATTTTAAATTGCTTTATTCTTTTTAATTTTTCTTTCTTAAATTTTTTTTAATTATAATTTTTATTTTTTTATTTTTAATTTTACTAACATATGTAGAGTAATATAATTTTATCTCCAACATATCTTAAATAAATTTTATTGTTATTATAATATAAACTTTTTATATACAACAATGTATTTTCCTTAACTCTGCTAACTTGCTATGCAAAATGTAGATATGTGATAACTGAACTACTCCAGTCCGATCTCCACAAAATTATTGTTTCTCCCCAACATCTGTCCGCCGATCACATCAAAGTGTTCCTCTACCAAATATTACGTGGGCTCAAATATTTGCATTCAGCTCGTATTTTACATCGCGATATAAAGCCTGGTAACCTCTTGGTAAATTCTAATTGCGTTTTGAAAATATGCGATTTTGGTTTGGCTCGCGTTGAAGAGCCCGATCAAACAAAACACATGACCCAAGAGGTCGTCACACAATATTATCGTGCACCAGAAATATTAATGGGTGCACGTCATTATTCATCGGCTGTGGATGTTTGGTCGGTTGGCTGTATCTTCGGCGAACTGCTCGGACGTCGTATACTATTTCAAGCACAAAATCCAGTACAACAACTGGAGCTCATAACAGAATTATTGGGCACTCCAACAATGGAAGATATGCGTCACGCCTGTGAAGGCGCACGTACTCACATGCTACGTCGTGCACCCAAATTGCCCTCATTTTCAGTATTGTATACGCTTAGTTCACATGCGACGCACGAAGCAGTACATTTGTTATGTCAAATGCTTGTATTTGATCCGGTGAGTTAAATATTTATCATTGCATAGTGTAAGTTAATAAATATCTTAATTAAATTTGATGTTTTAGGACAAACGCATATCTGTAACAGATGCTTTAGCTCATCCATACTTGGATGAAGGACGTTTACGCTATCATTCTTGCATGTGCAAGTGCTGTTTCACTACCTCGGCTGCCATGCGTCAGTATACTGGCGATTTTGAGCCATCTGCTGGTCAACCGTTCGATGATTTATGGGAACGTAAATTAACTTCAGTGCAGCAAGTTAAGGGTAAGAAAAACTTTGGTTTTTTTTTGTTGCTTAAACGGATGTGTACTACATTTTGTAACGTATACGCCGTGTTGTGCCACAGAAAGTTGATTGAACATTTTTATTTAATAAAATTGTTATGAAATAATAATATGAAATTATTTAAATATTGCAGAGGAGATGCACAAATTCATTGCGGAACAATTGCAAACCGGACGTGTTCCACTTTGTATAAATCCGCAAAGTGCGGCATTTAAGAGCTTTGCTAGGTAAGCCACAATTTTTTGTCCTACTTTTTCACATGTTTCCAATGCTTTCTCTAGTTTTCCTTTTTGCTACTTTTAAGTTTATTTTTTATTAACGTTGCTTGAATTTCTTTAAATAAATTTAAATTATTAAAAATTAAATTTGAAAATCAAAGTAAAAATTTATTTTAACACAATTCGTCATTTGGCCATTTCTTTTCCTTGTTAGCCCAAAGCAGTTTACTTGCAAATATTAAAAAAAATTAATTATTCTTTGTTTCTTTAAAAAATTTTTTTCTTTACTTAATAATTTAAAATTATTAAATGAAAAACTCTTTTTATAAATTTAATTACTTTCACAATAAAGCCAATGAGAATGAGATAATCTACTACTACGACCACTGCTGCTGTTCCTGTTGCTGCTGTTCGGTGCAAACGATTAATTGCATTTATAATTTATAGTAATTAATTAATTTAATTAAATTTATATAATAAACAAATAGGAATATAAAAACTTAACTCAGAAAAATATATTATAAATATAATCTTCATGATCAACTGCCTTTGCATATGCAATGATCGTTATAAGTTATACACCAGCAATGTAATTTATTAATGTTAAAGAAGTACTGAAATGAAGCATAGTTTAGACACATTACAGCACTACCGCAAGTGATACGTATCGACTACGATTGTTTGATAATGAGGCAACTACAATTGCAACCGCACTACAACTTTCGAACAACAATTTGAAGCACAACTGCCATTTTTACTGTCTTCAATGTCACTTTCGATTTAGGTCTGTTAACATATTTAATTATTAAATTATTTTATTTACAAAAATATATTTTTTTAATACATGTAAATTATTATTATTATACTTTTTT